TCCCAGCCAAACTTTGGCACTTTAACATTTGGAGTGCTTTTCCTCAATTTCACTTACCCCTGAGCTTCAGGGGTTCCCCATATGGGCCACCAAATGCCGCAGTCTAGCTGGGCACAAATCACGAGCCACTGAAGCAGGAACAAACTTTACTTCTGAACTCCACCAGCACACTCCACACACGCTCCCCGGGAATACTCTGGAATGCCACTCGGCTTGTTCAGGAACCAGCAACCAGAAACATCCCTCCTCTGGCACTTCCCCAACCAATGGGAACTCTCCGGGAATCCCCGCGAGAGCTCAACTGGAACTCAATGGGAACTCTGGGAGAACTCGCTGGCATCACTTCTCAACCACTACTTCTTGCAAAAATGCCATGCGTCATCCCAACCTGGCTGTGGCTCTCAACCTTATAGGATCCCATCAATTCCATTAATTACTTTCCTTAATTTGGATTAAATCAGTTATAAGTTATGCAGAAAAAGGCCTGAATTATGCACTCTAATTCTTCTCCTTTGTGTGAGAGAGTGTGAGAACATAAAATATATTTTTTAAGAGAAAATGAAATCATGATGAAAAGTGATCCTGCTTCGTCTTACCCTATTATGGCTGCTACTACAAGCTGGGATGCCTTGGAAGCATTTGTTAAAATACTAAACTCTGAAAAGCAACTAATGATTGCTGTGTTGATGAAAGTATAGTTTTCATACACGATCTGTGTGAGATCATCAGTTTGTTTATATCATATTATATCAAAATACATGATTAAATATGGAAAGAAAAATATAATCACTCTACAGTTATTATTTACACTGTACAGAATCTGTGTAGATAGCACCATAGCCAGAAGATTGAGGTCAGCAATAATAGTGTTGAATCATATACTGCAGGTACACCCTGCAATCACTGATGGTAAAAGGACACATCAGCCCTTTGGATCCCTTCTGCCAAAGTCTAAACCCCAAATCCCAGTTTAATATCTTTAATACAGCAGATAAACTTAAATTTGCTATTTTAGTTAGTAGTTGTGTACCAGTTTGCATTTCTTGGTTTTCACAGCAGAACACTGGTTCTATAAGATGCTAGCACTAGCTCCCAGTGACTAAGGAGGCTGAGGCAAGAAGATTGCAAGTTCAAGGCCAGCCTCAACAACTTAGTGATGGCCTAAGAAACTTTAAAAAAGTTAATAAAAAGGGCTGGGAATGTGGCTCAGTGATAATTGCCAGGACCAAAAACCAAACCAAACCAAACAAAACAATAACAACAAAAACAAATGTGAGCAATAAGAATAGTTTGGGGAAGGGTATATGGAAACTCTGTACTCTCTGTAATTTTTCAGTAAATAAAAAAAATAAAATTTCATTTAAAGAACCTAATATGCAGTATTTCCAGTTATTCTTTGCTATGTGGGTTTGCTATCTTTTGTGTGCATGGATTATATTCTATGAATGATTTAGCTGGGGATGACATATTAACAAGCGCACATCTTCCCCATCTCTTTTCAAACCTCACTTAAAAAACTTAAATCCAGGAGAAATGTAAGGGTTCTATGTTTGGGATTTCAATCTCGGATGACTTCATGGCTGTGGCATGCTTGGTGGCTGGGAAAGCTTCTGTGCAAAATACAGGATGTCTAGCTGGTAGGAAAGCTTCTGTGCAAAGGTGAGGGATGCCTAGCTGCTGTGCAATGCCCTGCATGAGGAGGCTTTGTGCTAGAGTCTTATCAGCCTTGACCTTAATCTCAGGCTCTCAGTTCCTGGAAATGAAGAAACTCTCTTGTCAGACAACCACTATGTTTCACCAGCTCCACTGCACCTGAACCTGTCCCCATAACAGTCACTTTAAACAATGGACTTTCTTGAGAGCTACACAGGCTCCTAATATCACACATTGCACATATAGTATATAACTGAGGAATAAGCTGCATAATGTTGTTAACTCTGTAACCTGCCTAATGTCACAATGAACAATAATGCACTACTGATGCCAGTGACCTAATGTAACATGTTGATACAAATAAGCTGTCAGCTTGGACAAGGGGCCATTCTGTCTCTGTACCTTGTTTCTGTTTCTTTTTGATTTCTTTATAAAGAAAAGACAAACTTTCAGCCACTTTCAATTATATACTATCTTGTTTGTAGACTTTGTCTCATAACTTGTTTTTGTTTCTAATAGAATGCGTCTAATTCACCAAGAGTGACAGAGCCTGCTTTGTTGAGCAGTGGTTGACCAAGGTTGCATGACAGGGGTGTCCCTCCCAGGAGACTATTTGGAGACAGTGATGTGAGGTCATCACCACCAAGAGGAAGAGGGCAAGGCCATACCCCAGAGAAAGGGGAATCCAAGGGACTTATGTGTCTAGATGTTTCTACTCAACAGCAAAGCAGGGAGTCTTTGAAGGGCAGGAGTGGGTTGGGGACTTGTAGCTGCAGGGTTTGTCTAATGTGTGGTTATCATGTGTTGGATGCAGTTTTGGGGGTATGTAAAGCAGGCAGGCTCTAAAGGGATGATTATATGCCCATTTGAGCTGTATTTAAACTAATTGGAGATGACAAAAATTTGAGTTTGGGGCCAGGAAGCTGTAAGCTATAGGGACCAGTAGACAGGGCACACGTTGGACCCACTGAAGTAGCAAAGAGGCCCTGCCATTCCCAGTGTGAGGACAAGTCTTTCATTCAGGCAACACGAAGGGGGTTGTGAGGATGGCCTTACTGCATTTTAAAAGCTCCAGTCTGACACCTGCAGTCTCACCAGGCACACCCACAGAGCCCTCCAGTAAGGCCTCAAACAAGTTACTTTCCCTCTCCCTGGTAACCAGAGTGAAGCCCCTGGCAGGCTGTCCTCACCTGAAGAGAGGGAAAGGCGAGAAGAACAGGGTGGAGACCACCAGACCAGATGTTTCTGACCCCAGAGTAAATGATGTCACTGAGAGATCGGGTGGTAGCTGATAAGGATTGAAAGGAGGGTCAAACCCCCCCCCCCAAATTTAGTATAAATAATAGAGCTGATGAACAGGGATTCAGCCAGCCAAAACAAGGGTGCACTGGAGCTGGAGAGCCTGATGAGGACCTGGCATCCCATCACCTGTCATTGTTCCTGAGCCTCTGGGTGATCCTCACTGCTCTCAAACTCTACCAGCCTCGACCGGATCTTGGTGAGAGCCACAACTTCTCCCTACGACCCTGTTCTCAACCAGTCATCCACTCCACTGCCAGGAAAAGCCTGCCTTGTTTCCAGACCTGATCACCGTGGTGTGGTCTGAGTGAGTGTGCATCTGCTGGACTCAAAGCCTAAGACTTAAGACCTTTGAACTTAGCGTGCCGAGGGAATGTATGTCATTAGCTTCTCATGATTAAGTGTGTTTTGCAGTGCTCACAATTAATCTAGAATTGTTTGCTGTGAATTGATTAATCTAGAGTTGTTTGCTGTGAATTGATTATGTCTATTGCAGTGCCTAGCATTAGGAATTGTCATTTTCTTGATTAAGAACCTATAGAGTGAATCTGTATTGAGTAATTTGAATGAATAAAGCATTGAAAGGGGCAGAAGCACATGGACGTTCTTTATTCCTCCCCTCGACTACATACATCACAATTTTGCCCCATTGCAACAAGGGTCAATCACCATGTTATTTTCCTAAAACTGGACGTTTACTCCAGTTTAAGAGCAGCTTGAATGTATGTGGATTATTAAAAAAATTAAAATGCAAGATCACTTGTTCAAAAAATGCAGAAAAATATTATCTTAAATCTACCAAAATAGTTATTGAAAAGGAGATACAAACAATGAATTATTATTTAGCCAAAAGAAGAATGAAATCAAATCATTTTTGAGAAATGGATGGAACTTGATATTATCATGTTAAATATAATAAGCCAGACTAAGAAAGATTGCATGTTTTCTCTCATGTGGGGAATCTAAAAAAATAAAATAAAATAAAGACAATATAAAAGAAGGGGCTATTAGGGAAGTGGAAACCCAGGGGAGGTGCCAGGGAGGGTAAAAGAGGGTGGATATGATGGTCAAAGTATATTGTATGTCCATATGGAAATGTCACAACCAAACTCATTATTTTACACAATTGACATATGCTAATATAATTTTTTTAAACTACCAAAATATAAAGCTTTTTACTTTTTCCACAGGTCTTACAATATGACATAATATCATTTATTTGCTATTTGCTTTCTTGGACACAGGAATACCAGAGGCCATCACAGACCCTTGCAGAGGTTCTTTGTTGATTCTCTACATTGACCAAGGGCTCTCCCCATTACGTTAAAATAAAAATTACCCTTTTGTTCACTCCAGGAAATCTTGAACCCCTATCCTGTAGATCTCTCTTCAAAGAGAGCATGTAAAGTCCAGTGACACTGTCCCATCAGACGTTTAAAGACAAATTTGTATAAATTTCAACACAGCAGCTTCAGAGCATTAAGTCCTAGTGGGTGGGCAGGGGACTATGTGACTTGGTCATATGCCCATGAAGTTGGGACTGCTCCAAGTTATTAAAAACATCTAAATGGTGAAGTCCTTTGGCTCAACCCTTTATCTTCTACGCACACAAGTGCCAGTCCAGCTCCTGAAGATGAACTGCTACAAGCCACAGAGCAGACATAAAAATATCATCACATGTGCCCTTTATAGGTCAGGGAAGGTTCACTATGAATTAATGCACTTTAAAAAAAGTGTTTAAAAATAGTTAGGCAAAGGTGCGGAGATGAATATGAAAGGATAGCAGTGGAATGGGACAGACCCTGGCGCTCCAGTTCCTAGCCAGGCGTCCACTCCACGACACTGGTCAGTCCTTCAGACTCCCCCAGTGGAAGGCTGATGGGTGCCAGCGTTTTTATCTATGTTGTCCAGCCTTGATCCTGGCAAATGGAGCATGCAATTGTGCTTTCTTCGTTGATTCACTTCATTGGCCAAGGGCACACCCCATTACATAAAATATAAATGAGCCTTTTTTCCTCTCCAGGAAACCTGGAACCTCTGTTCTGAGGAGTCTCCCTTCAAAGATGGCTCCATGCAGGAAGATGTTTTATTTTGTCATTGCTTTGTTCTTTGTTTTGGCTCAGTTTCCATCAGGTAAATTAAAATGGATAGAATTTTGATGAGGCAGATCATAAAGCTTGATTATTCCTCTATGTCCCACCCTAAAATCATCTAAGAGCCAGGTGCACCTGGCGCCAGTTTGGTTTTTGTTTTCTGTAACTTGGTCTGACTGGCTACAGGAATCCTTGTCCTAAGAAACAAAATGCAGACTGCGTCTTTGTCACCTGTAGACACTGATGTGCAGCCTCCAGGGTGGGAACCTGGTCTTATGTGATGTTACTTCCTGTGTTGATGTTTGTTTCTAATATGTATCTTGTTTTAAATTTAGGGTGCCGAGCGGGTCTTGATTATTACAAGTCACTTCCTGGAGGTAGGTGAAATCCTTTGAGTATAGTTTCTCCTTTTCTCTTGGGAACTCTGGCTCTGGAGCTCTCTCTGCCTTGACAAACCAAGGAAGCTGTGTAGGAGTGGAAGGGAAGGGCCTGAATTCCAGGCCTCCAATTCTCTCATTTCTTCCTCTTGTTCCCAGCACCACATTTGGATTTTTCCATTTCACAGAACCACATCTCTGTTTCTGGACTCTATTACTTTGGCCATGAGGATTTGGACCCAGGGACTTTTCCCATATGCTCATGGAGCATGGGTTCAACCCCACAGCAGCCAATTAGCAGTGCCTGAGATCAAGCTGCTTGTCTCTCACAGTCCAGATCTAACAAGGACTGTCACAAACACATGTTTCTGGTGAATGGAGGATGGAATAGATAGAGAGGACTGGTCAGTGAAAGCTGACCCTCACTCAGTAAAGCATTCAAAATGAGGAGCCCAGACCTCTCCCTGGGGAGTTGTCTTACACAGGAGGACAGCACATTGTGAGCAGAATTCAAGAGTATTCCTGGGAAACTGTGAGAAGAGTTTGGACGGCATTTCAGAGTGAGAGGTGTTGAGGGTGCTGCCCACTGAGTGCTGGCTGTCCGTGTGCCAGGCACTCTGTTGTGACAAGGATTGTGTCATTTAATCTCAAGCCCAGAGTCAGGCATACCACCCACCCAACATCGTCACATCACTCATTTCATTTAACCACTAAACCAATAAAAACTGCAGGCAGGTGTTTCTAGAATGCCTGCAGGACAGATAAGCCACTTATTGAGGATGATCTGCCTTTATGAAGCCCCAACAAGAATCCAGCCTGAAACCCTGCATTCTGTTTTCAGAGACCCTTCCCAACCACAAGATACCCCCTCCATTTACACCTAGCAAACTCTCAGTGTTTCAGGTGGGTGTTTTCGAGGTCTCTAACACTTTGCCTACTGCTTCCTTTTGATGAGAACAAGACTGGAAATATTTGGACAGGAGGGATCGTGGTTCCTCTTCCTTATAATCCTCCCCACTCCAAACGACAGAGAACACAAGCTCTTTGAAGAATCTGGGCGAGGTCTTGGAGATACGCCTTATGACCACACATCTGAACCCTCTCTCCTTTTGGTGGCTTTGTCCTGTTCCCTGTTCCACAGATGGCCAGGAAAGCCTTCTCAGCCGCTCTTTCTTGGCACAGGTGAGTTTGCCGTTTGTGAGACCTGCAGGCTTGGTCGTGGCAAATGCAGGAAGATTTGCCTGGAGAGTGAGAAGATTTATGGAAACTGCAGATTGAACTTTTTCTGTTGCCGACCCAAGATCTTGAGATAGCAGACCAGGCTCTGGGCCTTGGAAACAGAACAGGATGGATGTTCAAGGAAGGTCAAGAGAACTATGAGGCCTAGTCAAGTCATATTGTGAGTGTTTCAAGATCATCCTCATTTCTTTCTCTCCTTGTTTTGGTTTCCTTGTCTAGGTTTAGTTTTCAGATCTTTTATAAAAAAAAAAATCTAGACATGAGCCAGGCATAATGGTGCATGCCTGTAATCCCAGCAGCTCAGGAGGCTGAGGCAGGAGGATCACGTGTCCAAAGCCACCCTCAGCAACTCAGTGAGAACCCTCTCTAAATAAAATACAAATTAGGGCTGGGGATGTGGCTCAGTGATTGGGTGGCCCTGCATTTAATCCCCCACCCCAGAGAAAAATCAAGACATGAATGAATAAGGAATAGCTACTCACTGAACCAGGCACTTGTATGTATCTGAGGAGTGCCTAGAATTCATGAATTATTTTTCTGTACTTTCTCACTGGAGTCAAGATTATATTGAAGGGTATTTTTTATTATGCTAATTTGTATTTAAAGAAATTGATACCTAAGGGAGTTGTCATTCGCTCAGAGATACAGCAGGAAGTCAATAAATGATGTGGGCACAACAGTCAAGTCCTGCATGTCCAGCTACATGGTCTAGTTTCCATAGAATTAATAGGTAAATGGAAGTAGATGCACATCTGTGAGTGAGTAATGAGTCTACATAATAAGTTACTTTTATCCAGTGCATTTTTTGGTATTATAATATGTGGTCTTCATTGATTCTAGTATTAAAGTGTATTTTTATAACAACACCCATCTATTCAGTTAATGCCACTGGCACAAAGTTTGTTTTTTCGTTCTTACCTATGAAAGAAAGTGGTCAGAGATTGATTTGAAACATTCAGCACAGCATGTAAGGAAATGAGTGACTGTGTAAAGTCTGTGTGATACAATTTGTAACTTCATTAAATAAAGGTCACAATTACCAGCCATGGCACTTGAGAGATTGCTCAGTTTTAACATTTGAGTCTGAACCAGTTTCCTGGAGTGTTTTTTGGCCATTTGTCTTTTTCTGCTCAGGTCATTCCTTGTTGTCTCTGCGTTGCTCTGTGGCTTTGGCTCTGTCTTCTGTGAACTGCCCTCTCCAGGCCTCCAGCTCTGGGGTTTCAGTGGACGTGGGTATCAGTGGGGAGGTGGTCGTGGGGAGAGGCAGAACTCAGGGCACATCGCTCCCAATCTCTATTGCCCTCGGGCTCCTCCATCTCCCAGAGAAACTGCTTCTGCTCCCCACCCCCCAGCCAGGACTTGCTCCTGGGCTCAATCTCCTCCTGGGTTCCTCCAGCCACAGGCAGTGGGGACTCCAGTCGTGGCTGTCCCTGGGTTGCCTCTGCACGCTCCGCTGTCCAGGCCTCGTCTTCAGCTGTGCGCGTCCCTCCTGTGGAACTAACTGAGCGGGACTCTTCTCACGCCTGGGTGTCACCAGTCCACAGTCAGGTCTCTTACTTGGAGGAACTGGTCTTTAGAACACATCCGAAGTGCAGCTGTCCTGAGCCACCTGCACAGGGGTCACCTGCAGGAAGGGGCAGGTGGAATTGCCTTAAGACTCTGCAGCTCCAGAGCCACCAGGCTCACAATGCTCTATGAGCCATCCCTGTACCCCCTATGCGTGCCCCCCTCGGGTCTCCACAGGAGGGACAGCCAGTGGCTTACAGAGCACCATGAGACAGGGGTACTTCCTACTCATTCCAAATACTGCTTTGCTTGATTTAAAACAAAGAAAGAAAGAAAATTGAAAATAGTCTGCAACCTTTCTGAAGCTTTTCTTTTCAATACAGAAAGACCTGTGTGTGTGTCAGAGCTATCCAGAGTGGGGGCTGGTGGCTGTCTCCTGACATTACTTTCCAGTTATCCTGTGCACAGCTGGAGCTGGGAGGCCTACAGCCTTCCCTCTTTCTCTCTGACTCCATCCTTCTTTAGCATGAAGCTCCTCTTAGCCCTTTCCTAGGCTGCTCCCTCCTTCCCTAAGCACCCAGTTCTTCCCAGAGAACAGTCTTGCTCGCATCGTTAGTTGCTACTTGAAAATTCAGCTCTTTTTGGTGCCAAGAGGAAGGCGGTTGTTGGCTCAGATCAGCTTTGTTGCTTTGTTGGGACTCTGGGACCTCCGGAGTCTTTGATAGGGAAAGTCCTCTCGGGGGTGGACGGGTCAGCAGGAGATGGCCAGGAAGAAAAGATCCCAGTGCATCTGCTTTTGCCTGAAGCACTTGCACCCTCCACAGTCCCCAGCACTCTCCTAGTGAGCATGACTTTGACCCTATTGATATTTAAAATCACACTCGTGACCTTATTACATTATCGTCACATTATTCCTTCTTGTATCTGGGTTCTACTTCAAAATTCCCTCACCTGAAGTGGAATGACAATGTCTTCAGAGCAAGGTTGATCAGTTTTGGTGGAAGTTTCAAATGATACAGAATAAAAAGTAAATGTCGTGAATCCCCCCTGGCCCAGCTGAGGCACTGGACCACAAATGCAGGATTAGCAAAAAGGCTGATCCCATCCCAGATTCTGGATCACTCAGCCTGGCACTTACTTAAACCTGGAGGAAACAGAACCTCCTTGGAAACGTCCTGTCCTGCTGAGATGCACCTCGGCTGTGCCTCTCGAGGAGGAGGCTGAGGTCAGCATCTCACACAACCCTGTCCAGTGGGCTTCAGGAAGACGCCTGGGAGAGCCTAATGCAGAACCCTGTGGAGCTCACGTCGGGCTCCCACAAGCAAACATCCACAGGCAGAAAGCCCTGGCTGGAGTGGCCTGAGGGGAGGAAGGTGTGGCTGCAGTTAGGATCTGGGCAGCGCAGCAAGCTGTATGATCCCCGTGGCCACGTGAACCCCACTCAAGTCACTGGTCTGAAACAGTCCCAGCCAGAGAGGAGCCAGAATGTGGCCTGTTGTGGCAAAAGAACCAGCAGAGAGAGGTCTTAGGATATAGCTCTGGGGAGAGAAAACTTGAGGGAAACTCATAAAAGGTCAAGAAAGCACACTAACCACTGAAGAAATCACACAATGCTAGGGGCTGCACAGGAGCCTTGAAATGACATGTAAATTTGTCCAAAATATTTCCACTTAAAATACTGCTGTAGTCATTTTGCTGTTAAATGAAACACCATAAACAAAACTGTTTGAAACAGCACATATTATCTCACACTTTTGTAGGTCAGAATCTACACTGGGCACTTGTTTCTATGCTCAAGATTTTACAAGACGAAAAGCAAAGTGTTACCAAGTGTTCACTAGGGGTGTGATCGCACCAAGGGCAAGTGGTCTGTTCCTAACTCACACAGGCAAGAGCCATCTGACCAACTCTAGCAAGTAGAGGCTTTGTAGAATCACCTGCTAGGGTTCTTTCCAAAAATGGCAGCTTTGCCCCTCAAGATCAGCAAGGAAATCTCCTATCTCAGAACTCTTCAATTTCCTCTTACAGCACCCATAAATGGAGTTAGAATGCAATTAAATACAATGAACATTGAATTGGTATTAATATAATCTAAGTATCTATAGATTATGACATCAATTATAATCACCAAGGCAAAAATTTATACAAAACTAAAATATATACCAAACAATGATAAAGGAATTAGAGTAGCAAGTTGCATATCTACTTAAAACAAAACAGAAACAAAAAAAAAATGGGGAGATAACCTGATCACCTTTAAAGAATAAATTGTAAAGTGGCAGACATAAATGCCACTTTATAAATGAAAATGGATTAATTACTCAATTAGAGATTGGCAAAATGAACTTTAAGTAGCATTCAACTGTATATTGTCTACAAAAAATAACAAAACACTTTGGATTAAAAAACCAAAGAGCTTAAAGTTAAAAGAATAAAAAAGTCTGTGTCGTATATAGTGTAAGCAAAAGAGAGCTACAGGGCCACACTAATAGTAAGCAAGGGCACATTGAAGATAAAATGCTCTTAGAGACAAAGAGTGCATGAATAATGATAAGTGAGTCAATCGATAATCAAGATGATAGAGCAACTATAAATGCATATGCACCTAATACCAAGCTACAAAATACTTGAAGGGAAACCTGAGAGAAGCAAAGGGTGAAATTGGTGAATTAGCAGTAATAGTAGGGGAAGCTCGGAGCGGAGCAAAACCACTCACCTCCTGGTCGGGAAGCAAAATTGAGGAAAGGGGGAAGGAACTGGGGCCTATGTCCCCTTCAAAGGCATTACCCCAAGGACATAAGGGCATTGCACTGCCTCCCAGGTGTGCCCCTTGGTGTGCCAAGCTTGTATCACATGTACCTTCAGGGACATGGAACCCAACCTATCATGCATGTCTTTCACAGTGGCCACCTTTCCCCACCAAGCCTGTGTCATCAAAAATGCCTTCTCAGCAAACCCACCTTGGTGCACCAATCATATTTTTGTGATTGTTTGGGGATTATGTGGACAGGAAATTAGAAGTTGTCGAGAATTTTCCTTTATATTTGTGGCTCCAGGAGTTTCATATTAGTTTGTAATTGCTGGAACAAATTGTTTATTGGCAGTATGTGAGGCCATTTTAGCAGCATCTGGTGCAGTAGGCCTGGGGTTAGCAAGTGCTCATGTCCTACCTTTCTTGGAGGTTCCTGTCTTTCCTTGCAGATGATGATGTTTTGCTGCCTGTGACCATGGATTTCTAAAGAATCTGAGAAATGTAATATTTTAAAGAAACCTCATATTGTCTTACAATTTATTATATATCTCAATAAAACTAGAAGAGAGGAGTTTGAAGATTCCCCCCAAAACAGGAAATGCCAATTCCCTTGATGTGATTACTGCACACATGTACCCCCCACATATGTGCAACTGGTATGTGTCAATTAAAAATAACGATGAATGAGACTGTATGTTGTAGCTGGCTCTGCATCTTGATGTGCATTTGCTTGGGGTGGGAAGACCCTCTTTCCATGTCCTTCCTTTTTTCAATCATATGGGCGGTACTGACTTCATCACATGACATCGTGTAACA